TTTTTGATGTTAATACCATAGAGATATCGACAAATAAAAAATTCGGATGGAATTAATCCCATAATCTTATTTAATCTGTTGCGCATTATCCAGTATTATTTGTCACAATAACTGCTAAACGCGACCATTACTAGCGCCGACAGATTGATTATTTGTCTTTGTCTATCTAATGGACCGAAATTCGTTAATATAACGAAGAATATAACCAAAAAATCGTGGACATTACCGATCGGATCATGGATATTAGTTACGTAGTTTAATGTCCACATTTTGTGGACATAGAGGCGCTTCAAAATAAAGTAACATCTAAATCCCGGGCATAGCCGCTCTCAGGGTGCGATTACATGGAGCGCGGTACGCGATACGCGGTACAGTAAGGGGTCCCGCACAATAAAAGCAACAGGGAACAGAGAACAGAGAATAAGAATTCAATCTATCAGAAACTGTATATTCCACAATACATATTAGGTGTTGGAATTAATTCGTAGCGTTTTACAAGTGATGGGAAGTACTTTCATTAATGTATTTTTTAATGCTCATGTGAAATAAATAACATTCTTTCATTAAAAAACGCTACGAATTAATTCCAACACCTAATAATTTCTGATAGATTCTTATTCTCTGTTCTCTGTTCCCTGTTTCTTTTATTGTGCGGAGCTTCTAACTAATAGTAACTAACTAGGCAATTAGGAAACCACGTATCACGTACCGCCTATTTCTTTCGCTGATATTACATGGAGCACGGTCGCGTGCGATTTGCACGGGCTAATGACAAACTTACATTAGTATAAATTTTTTTTAATATATTAACATTTTTTATGCACATTTTATCAATACTCTTATTTTTTAAACAAATTTATTTAATAATTGCGTTTAAATCAATTAATTCCATTAAAAAGTGTACAGCAGTGTATAGTAATGTGAATGTGTTACTAGCCCATGCAGTCGTTTGGGTCATCTAAAAAGTATCCGCGGTACTTTGTCACTAGATATATGACCATCAACACACATCTAG